GGGGGGGGGGGCGGCGGCAGGACAGAGCTGACACCTCACAGCCTGCCCCTGTCCAAGCAGGCCCCTTACATACCCTGAGCCCTAGGGGAAGCACTGCCCATTAGAGGTCACGGCTGGCGCTGATGGCCAGGATGGGCACTGGGCTGCCTCTCTCACATGTGGGTTCCTCCTGAACATTAGCTGGAAACATCTGCGGCCAGAGCTGAGCCAATGTTGGAAAAGGCTCGGATTGTGGGCCTTTCTGTGGCTAGGCCTTCGGAAAGTGGGAAAATGGCAACAGCTCATCCTCCTGTCTTCTCTGTCTCCCTCCAAGGGGTCAGGATGGGAGGCAGCTTCAGAAGGGCACCCAGTTTCATTGGGTTCTGATACCAAGGAAGTGAGGTGGCATCCTCAAAGTTTCACTACAGTTAGGGTGAGGAAGTGGCTTAGGACCAAGGGGCAAGGTGCAGTTTGGGTTGCGGTTTTTGTTGGAATTTTGTTGAGATTTAGGAATACATTTAGGGTTCTATTATGGCTGAGGGTGGGAGATTCAGTGTTAGAAAGTAGGCCTGCGCTTTACATTGTTGTTTATTTTTATTGTGCAGTTCACAATCATTTGAGGAGTGTCTACATGTACATAACAGAGCTTGCAGGGCTGGGGATTTAGCTCACTGGCACCATGCCTGCCTCACCAGCACAAGGTCCTGAGTTCAATCCCTGGTACCAAAAGAAAGAAAAACCAAAAATACCAAAACAACAACAACTCATAGCACAGCTTATATATATTATGAGTTTTAGATTTATATACAATTAAGATGGCCACCCAGTTCTTCCATTTCCTGTTATTAATGTCATCCATTAGTCTAGTACATCCTGTACAAGGAGTGAGCAAATACTGATGTATAATTACTAACTAAGATCCACCTTCACCACTTGCTCTCCACCACAATCTGCAGTCCCGTCAGGGCTGCCACATTGCATTTCATTGTTGCATCCCTCAGATGCCTCTTGACTGATGTTTTCACAATTTTTCCTTTTTTTGTTTTGTATGAGCTGACAGTTTGGAGGATGACTGAGCTGATATCTTATAGAATGTCCCTAAATTTAAGTTTTCCTGATGTTTCCTTCCTGATTAGATGAGGGTTACATGTTTGGGTGC